AAAACAGGAAAATTCGAGATATCCCTTGGAGACAAGGACTTTCAAGGTGATCCAATGAAAACCGAAGTAGCCAGGAAAAACCAATTCATTTGAGAAGAATTAATGAAATTCTAGAGGAATATCTATGGAAATTGCAAATCGACAAATTATTCCAGGGAAATTCTAGATTTTCCCTGGTTTATCAAGGAATTGCATAGAACCTAATTTCAAGGAAGTCCAATGAATGCAAAAACATTCTATGAAACGAACTAGGAATTTCATAGGAGATGCCAAGAAATTTCATGAGAAACCAAGGAATGTCGAAGAAAATTGAGAAGTTAGAGAAAAAATTAATGCATTGCCAAGTGCATTCCTGAAAAATTTTTAGTGGATTTCAATAATTTCAGGAAAAATTATAGGAACATCCGACAAATTCTTAAAATAATGAAATGAATTTCATAGAAAGCCAGTAGAATTCAGGAATTCAGGAAAATCCTTGGGAAAATCCTCGGAAGATTTGGATGTATTCTAGGAAAATCCAGAAAAACCCTGGGATTAACAACGAATTTAATGAAAAATCAATGAATGTCGAGGAAATTTCAGGACAAGGAAAATGCATGTTTAACCAAGGAATTTCAAGAAAATCCAATTGATTCTAGGAAAAACATGAGAATTTTAGGTATAATAATAAAGTATTCTTAAATCTGAGGAATTTTAGCGAAAGCCAATGAATTTCATAATGAAACAATGAAATTCAAGAAAATCTTCGAACAACTCAACGAAACTGCAAAAGAATCTTGAGATAATCTAGGGAAACCCAAAAAAATCTTGGAATTGCCGAAAAATTCCATAAAAAATACCAAACCTCAAGAAAATTCGATGAATTTCAGGACAGTACGAGAAAAATACATGAATTCCAAAGGTAACTCAATGATTTTCAGAAAAATAATGGGGTTATTCGATAAAAACCACAGTTTCCCAGTAATTTGACCACGTCAAAACATCAAAATTTTTGGGCAGAATAAATTCACCTATGAAGTATCTGATTCAGGAACCAATGAAAATATGGAAAAGTCTCGAAAGAAACAAATATATTCCATGTAAATTCAAGAAGTTCTAGGAAAATCCAGGGAATCCTTGGTTTTTCCATGGAGTCCTCGAAGAAATTAAATTAAATGAAGGAAAACTCGAAGGAAAACGAGGAAATTACATGAAAAACTCACCCTCATCCGATGCTCTGCCGGTACCCTTGCTGATGTCCTTGGTACCCGCCCATGGAAGGGGCAGGGTCGGACCCACCCCTCCGTAACTTTAGCGAAAACAAATAAATTTCATACAAAACCACTGAAAACTCTGATAAATCTTCGAATGAATCGAAGGTACTTCAAAAAATGTGAGATATTCTAGGAAAGCCCAGAGAGTTTTTGGGATTGCCAAGGAATTCCATAAAAATCGATAAAAAATCAACAAACCCCAGAAAAACTCAATGAACTTAAGGACAAAACGAGAAAAATACAAGTAAAACCGTGTAAACCGAGAAATTTCAATGACATTCAATGGACTCAAGAAAAAATCAAGAAGGAAAGCCATCCTAGAATTAAAGGATATCAGAATACTTTTCGAGAGAATCAGCCAGCAGAATTCAAAACTGATCATAAAAACCGAGATAAAAACCAATGCAATTCAGGAAGATTCTCGGAAGGGTCAATTAATACATTCCAGGAAAATGCAAGAAATTCCAGGAAAATCCAAGAACTTCCATAGGAAACCAAAGAATTCCATGGTAACCCAATGATTATCATATTAGTAATATCACGATTTTCTGAATATTCGGCTATATTTGCACGAGTGCATCAAAATTACCGATAATTTTGCAAAAAAGCCTGTTATCTAAAAATTGCAAGTTTATTTTCATATTTTGGCGAAAGAGCCAGAGTCCGAAGGAGGAAGAAATTCAAGATATAGGTAAATCAACCCAATAAACTCAGCAGAACCACTTCAATATTTCGGATTTGCAATAGTACTATAATTTGTTACTAATTTAGTACTAATTTATTATCATATTCGCAAAGGACCCCCGCACTTTTAGTACGTAAAATGGTTCTCGGTGAAATTTTCTGAATTTTCAGTATGTTGTAGAATTCTATGAACTGCTTGAACCTGCAGAATCGTAAAGTTCTTTGATGAACAGATTCTGAGATACAGGGCGTTGAAGTTAAAAATCGGTATTTTTCATTTAATTATTTTCTCGAAATTCAAAGATGCCAAGTAAAATTTTTTCCGCTCATATCATCAACAAACTTCCATATTACTCAACATAATTCAGATGGTTCAGATAATGTAATTGTTTACAGAGTGAAACATATAAACATTTCAGTGATGTCTGAAAATTCGATGTAGTAATGAAATATCGAAAAAATAATTTAGGCATGCAATATACTATCCTCATTCCATCATGAATCACAATTCATACATTTCATACAGGGTGATTTGAAAAATTGGTGACACCTAAGACCGATTTATTCTTACACATCCTGTATATTCGAGTGAATTGTTAACCTCCCAAGATAGCTGATACCGTATGAACATGATTTCGTTGAGATATATAGGGTGATCATGAAGATTTTCGATATTCGATTTTCGTCTCCACATTCTCACGTTTCACTATTTGTGAAAAATATCGGCCACTATGCGAATGTAAGTGAACAAGTCTCTTCAACTCTTCATGCAAATGGTAAGTTCCTGAATTAATAACTATGACACCCGTCATGATAGGAAACTGAATTTTCAAGACAGCGTTGAGGAGCGAATGATGAATATATTAAAAAATAATTAGGGAATTTCACCGAGTTAATCATGAATAACAGGGTGATTTCAAAAAACACGATTTTTTGTCATTTTCATCATCGAAAATCTTCATGATCACCCTATATATCTCAACGAAATCATGTTCATACGGTATCAGCTATCTTGGGAGGTTAACAATTCACTCGAATATACAGGATGTGTATGAATAAATCGGTCTTAGGTGTCACCAATTTATCAAATCACCCTGTATGAAATGTATGAATTGTGATTCATGATGGAATGAGAATGATATATTGCATGCCAAAATTATTTTTTCGATATTTCATTATTACATCGAATTTTCATACATCACTGAAATGTTTATATGTTTCACTCTGTAAACAATTACATTATCTGAACCATCTGAATTATGTTGAGTGATATGGAGATTCCGTTGATGATATGAGCGAAATAAATTGTACTTGGCATCTTTGAATTTCGAGAAAATAATTAAATGAAAAATACCGATTTGTAACTTCAACGCCCTGTATCTCAGAATCTGTTCATCAAAGAACTTTGAGATTCTGCAGGTTCAATCAGTTCATCGAATTCTACATCATACTGAAAATTCAGAAAATTTCACCGAGAACCATTTTACGTACTAAAAGTGCGGGGTCCTTTATTACTCTTCATTAAACAGAAAAAACAAAAACATAGCTGAAAATTTGATATTTTGAACATTTTTAATATACCATAATTTATAACTATTTTATTACTAACTTATAACTATAATCACGAATTTTTTACTCATCATTTCAAGGAAAAAAACGACGATTTGTCTATCTCGATCTCAACCTAGCAGAACCAAAACTCAAATCACATGTTTTTTGAAATTATGTTGTAGGTATCATCGATAAGTTACTAATTTATTACTAATTTATTACCACATTCGCAAATTTCTAACACTTCATTCAACAGGGAAAACCAACGGCTCTGCTAGCTTGCTGTCAACCTAGCAGAGCCATAGATAAACAATTATTATTTTGAAAACTTCAAATATACCATAATTTATTACTATTTTATTACTAACTTATAACAATAATCACGAATTTTTTACTCATCATTTCAAGAAAAAAAACGACGATTTGACTATCTCGATCTCAACCTAGCAGAACCAAAACTCAAATCACATGTTTTTTGAAATTCTGTTGAATCATCAACAAGTTAGTAATTTATTACTAATTTATTACCCACACATTCGCAAATTCTTAACACTTCATTGACAGGAAAAATCAACGGCTCTGCTAACTTCATGTCGACCTCTAACCCAACCATAGCTGAAAATTTACTATTTCGAAAACTTCAAGTATATACCATAATTTATAACTATTTTATTACTAGCTTATAATAATTTTTTACTCATCATTCCAAGAAAAAAAAACGCCGATTTTTTTAATTCAATAGAATTTAAAAAAAAAACATGCGATTTGAGTTTTGGTTCTGCTAGGTTGAGATCGAAATGGACAAATCTGCGTTTTTTTTTCCATGAAATGATTAGTGAAAAATTCGTTAATAAGTTAGTAATAAAATAGTAATAAATTATGGTATATTTGAAGTTTTCGAAATAATAATTGTTTAGCTATGGCTCTGCTAGGTTGACAGCGAGCTGGCAGAGCCGTTGGTTTTCCCTGTTGAATGAAGTGTTAGAAATTTGCGAATGTGGTAATAAATTAGTAATAAATCAGTAACTTATCGATGATACAACAGAATTTCAAAAAACTTGTGATTTGAGTTTTGGTTCTGCTAGGTTGAGATCGAGATAGATAAATCGTCGGTTTTTTTCCTTGAAATGATGAGTAAAAAATTCGTGATTATAGTTATAAGTTAGTAATAAAATAGTTACAAATTATGGTAGCTATATTTAAAATTTTCAAAATATTAAATTTTCAGCTATGGTTCTGCTAGGTTGACATAAAGCTAGCATAGCCGTTGGTTTTTTCTGTTTAATGAAGAGTAATAAATTTGCGAATATAATAATAAATTAGTACTAAATTAGTAACAAATTATAGTACTATCGCAAACCCGAAATGTTGAAGTGGTTCTGCTAAGTTTATTGGGGTAAAATAATCCGGTTTTTGCCAAAAAGATCCATGAGAAATCAAAAATCAAGTGAAAAACCCTCGAGAAAATTCAATTATTCAAAGAAAACCAAGAGAATGACATGTGAAACTCACCCTGAACCGATGCTCTGCCGGTACCCTTGCTGCTGTCCCTGGTACCCCTGGTGATGCTGCTGCTGCTGCTGCACCTTGAGGTACCCGCCCCCGGGAGGGGCGTGGCCCGAGGGCGGGGGCGGAGTCGGTCCCGCCCCCCCGTACCCGCCTGCCCCGCCCCCCAGGTGGGGACCCGCCTGCGCAGACGTGCTCACTCCCCACACGGTCGTCACGACGGACAGCTGCGGCTGCTGCTGCGGCTGCTGCTGCTGGTGGTGGGGGTGGTGCGACTGCTGGTGGGGGTGGTGCGGCTGACCGACCCCCCCGACGATGCCGGTGGCGCCCCCTGGCGACCAATCCCTGGAACGGACGAGAGAAAGCGGGGTTTTAGACATCATCGAACATTTTTTTCTTGAATAGGTGTAGGTGTATCTCGCTTTTGGAGAAGGGTCAATATTTCGCCCTGTGGATCTTGAATCTTAGACTTGATCAGCTCTACTATGAGAAGAAGAAAACATATCTATACTTTGACATACATATTATTAATTATTTGAAATCGATTTGAAACGAGTACATTTTTCTGAACAAATTTTGTGGCGAGAAGAATTCTTTATATTCATTCGTTGAAAAAATATGCGCGATTTTATGAATGAAAGTAATATAGATGTTATTTTTCTGAATGTTCTGGTTCCAACACGAAAACGGATATCCTTCCTGTAATATTCAGAGAACATCGTGCGAGAACCAAGGGCGAATAAGGTAGGAATTGGTGTTCTTCTTGAATTTCTGGGGAACACCTCCCTTGGTAATGTGTTCCAGAGCCTCGCTGTTCGTTGGATGAACGAGTCTTTGGAAAGAGATGGTCTGCAGGTCACCAAAGTGACCACGAAGGGGTGCGAAGCCTCAACTCGAAGGGTTAATCTCGCGGGGACTGCCAAGGGAGGAACAATTATTGATATTTCAGAAGAGCATCGTCCATGAAAATATCTAGAAAATAGAGCCAGATCGCCAACTTTTCTACGGTGTTCCAGAGAAGTGAGTGAGTTTGTGAGCGAGGCATCACCCACGAGACGAATTGCCTTTTTTTGGACAGAATCCAACAGTTTCAGGGTATGTTTGGGTGCTGCACTCCAAATATGGGAACAGTATTCCAGGACAGGTCCGATCTGTGCCTTATAGATCATAAGCAGCTGACTTGAAGTGAAATAGCTCCTGGTCCGAAACAGAAAATCAAGTTTTTGGGATGCACTTTTAGCAATTGATCTCACGTTATTTTCCCAAGAAAGGTTATTGCTGATAGTAATACCAAGCATCGAAATGGATGTCTTCAAAAGTATGGGTAAATTATTGTATTTTTATTTGAAAAAGGTATTATCAAACATTCGCAATCGACCTATTTTGAACAAACATCCTTCGAAAGAGATTGAGTAGAACCCAATTTTTCAAAGTATGAACATTTTTAAAAGGATTTTGAAAAAAAAAAGGTCACAAAGTCAAAGCAAAAACGATGAAAATGATCGGAGAAACAAGAAAGAATCAGGTGAAAAGAAGAAATAAAGAAAAATGAAGAAAGAAGGTACAAGAACAAAATTGAAAATTTTCAAATTCTAGGAATAAACAATTGTAGGATGACATAATATACAGGGTAATTCATTTAGAATGGAAAATCTCTGAACTTCAGATAGTAAACACTAAAATATTGATATTATACCAGACATGCCCGATTAGAATGTTGCTGGTTCAGGAGATACAGGGTGTTCTAGGGGGATATTTTATGAAATATTGTCGTTTCAGGTTTGCTGACATAAGGAATACGAATTCGCAACATATTTTGTGGCTACCCATAGATGGCGCTAATGGCACTAAGTTACTTCGGTAAATCACATCATATCTTTTCTGTCAATATGATGATGATCAAAATAAGTGAAAAAATCTTGAATGCCCTTCAATTTTACATAAAAAAATGTACTCATTCTCAAATTATCTATAGCTCTAACGGTTTTTGCCTCATTCTCTCTTGAAGAGATTTGTGTTTTACTCATAAAATTTCAATAATTTTACAATGGAAACAAGACAGTTTTCAATGATGAAATATGAATTTTAAAGTAAATGTACGACCAAAGTTAAGGAAAATTGTAAAATTTAATTTTCTCTTGAACACCCTGTATCTGCAACATTACTATAAAACATATTGAGTTCGATCTTTATATTTTGGTGTTTATTATCTGTAGTTCAAAGATTTCCCATTCTTGATGAATCATCCTGTATAAAATATAATTGTATATATCCCAAGTGATGATATTATATGTTCGAAATATTCACTTGAAGACTATCAATGCTCTTGAATGAAGGAAGATAATATTCTGAATTATCTGAGGAATGAGAAGTGTCAATGGGCGAAAACAAAAAATTACAAGATATACCGATATTGCCTCGGATATTGCTCTTCATATATTTTTCAAAACAAGGTTTTCTAACAGTGACATTTTCAACCGTAGTGACTTTTTGGGTCAAATAATCTGAACTGTCCTCACTAAACATGAGTATATTGAAATAATATACTAATATTTTCATGAGTGTTTTCATTTATAGAAACGATGATAAATAATGAAAAAAAAATGTAGAGAAATGCATTTTATAATGGAAAACTGTTCGAAAAACTTCGGAAAAACTATGGCATTAAATTGATACATATAGGTATATTGCGGTATACAGGGTGGCATTGAAATAAGGGCAAATATTTCAAACACTGAGAAAGCTCGACGTGTACTATCGAATGGTACTAATAAAACTTTAGGATCAAAATAAAATTTGAGGTTAGACCCGTTTTTCATGGGAATATTCCTTAGACTGTATCAAAAACACCTTGTATAGTGACGAGGGGCATTTCCAATGCATTTCACCAATGTGGATGTTGAATACCAATTCTGAAACCAATTCCCGAGCCAATTCCCCTCAATTTCCAGGTAAGATGCCAAAAATTCCTCTCCTATTATCTTGGAAATACCAAAAAACCCGGATAAAAATTTGATCATTCTGTGAATACTTGGTAAATACCATATTTCAAATTCATGAACTAACATTTATGATCTATACCTACCTGAAAATGAATCATTGCACACTTTGTGGGTACAGTTGGCTTCTAGGAACATTCTCACTAACATTACCCTTGGATTTACCCGGATTTACCAATCATTGAAGGAATTCAGAATAAAACCTAACCATTATCACTGAAGGTCATATTTTATTTCAGAGGAAGTGATTTGTCATTGATGATCGACTAGTTTTTCATACAAAATAAATAAAAATTTAGAACATACTATACATATTATGTTAGATGTTTTGTTTGAAGCTTTGAAATAGTAATTGATTTCCACTTATTATATTTTATTTCACCACCGATATCAACTGAAAAATTCTCGAGCTTGAATAAAAAAAAACTGAAAGTGACTGAAAATTTGAACTAAAGCTTACACAACACCAAATAAGCATACTTAAACAAATATAATTTCATACATTTTTGCAAATGTTGAATTTATTCGTCACCACCTGTCGATATCGCACTATTTTGTACTTAATGTACCCAAAATTTTGAATATCACAGTACTGTTAACTGCTTCATGCAAAGATGAAACACGTATTTTTCTACTCGTTAAAATAATCAATATCATATAACAGCCCGAATAATCATGAAAACTTGAAAAGTAAGAGAAGGGCTTTTTTCTACGATTGTGAATCTAAGTATAACTTTTTTCAATTGAACTTAAATAATAACATGGTAACTATAGGTATGTATACTTGGGTAAAAATGACGTTATTTCAAACTATTTCAAGAATTAGCATCTAATATCCCTTGAATTGAGAAATACATTTCTATAAAATTTGGAATAAATCTAAATTTGATTCGATCGAGATAAAAAATATTGTATGCAACATGTGCAAAAAGCAATAAACATATGCATGCACTGTACACTGTACCAATTTTGGCTCGAATTTTGGTTTCCAAAATATTCCAAAAATAGACTACCTAAATGGTTCATTGTTCAACAATAAAAGATGCAATCAGAGCTATTCAAATTGGAGAAAAATGTTTTACAGATAGATGGAAATTCCTGGAATTTGATTCATATGGAAAAATCGAGGGAAAAATTAATTGACACAACAAAACTTTTTCGAGTCAATTTAGGTATCACGATTCTGCAAAGCCCCATACCGAATAAACAAAAATCTACACACGCAAAAAATTAAAATATCCAGAAACACAGCGCTAAATTTAATCGCTAATAATCATCAAATCGAAACCAATGTTGTTTCAATAAACCGCGATTATAAGATCCTCTATTATAATATGTGGGTGTATGAATAAGAGCGAGAAACCCCTCGAAATAAATCGAACTGCGCTTACCCCCACTCTCCAGGGAGTGGGAGAAAAACGTGCGTACGAAGAAAAGTCGTGAAAATCCGCCATTAATATTAATACGCTGCAGTGTTGCCAGGTGTGGCGCATTTGCGCCAAAGTGGCGCTTTTCAAAATTGAAAGGGCGTGATAATTTCAACAAAATGCGCCTGGCGCAAAAAGTGGCGCTCTGAAATTTGAACTCCGCATCAGCGAATTAGCGTTATTGAAAACCTGAAGACCGTTCTCGTCTTGGAAATCATTTCGATTTGCAAAATAAAAAACAATAATAATAAGTAGGTAAGTATTAATTTCTTCAGATTTTTCGGGATTTTTTCTACTTGTTTTTTTTGGCTCTCATTTTTCAAATGCAGTGAAATTTTTGGGGCAAGTCGTCTGATTTGTCCATATTATCCATAGAAACTAGGAGGTAAAATCCCAATAATTCTGGAATTTTGAATGTTTCATCGATTAACCTACAGACAGTATTCAATGTCAAGTATGTTTTGTGTAAAAAATTTGTATAATATATCTTCAGTAAAGAATAAGAGGTATTCCAGATTCCTCATGAATCTTCTCAAAGGCTTACGAGATTGAAATTTCGTATGCAATTTAGACTGGCGATTGGTTTAAATATGAAACGACCTTTCTGTAGATTTACAATGAGAAATACGAAGATCCCGTTATATTTTTATGTTGTGTTCAATTAATACCATTGCATCATTGTCAGTATTTTATATTTAATCCTTTTGGATGATCTTAATCTTATTGAAGCGTTCAATAGTTTATATCGTAACCAAAAGTGGCGCTAATTTTTTTTTATCTTCAGATTTGGCCCTTTCATTTTGTAGTCGGAAGTTTGTTTGAAGTTCAATAGTTACTCCATATATTAACATAATCTATGGTTGCTGTGTCAGCATATTTCCTCATTTTCTTTTTTTTTGGAAGGTGGCGCTTTAGTGGCGCATTTTATTGTCAAATCAGGCGCATGAAAGTTTATAATACCTGGCAACACTGATACGCTGTTCAGTTGGGAAGGTGTTCCATCACTTAGTGCAAGACCAGAACAGCGAATTGTTTTGCAAAAAAAACACTCGCCACACTTGACCACAGTCACTAATTTGCCCTTTGTTATTGTTATTTTTAATAGTTTGTTTCGTGTTGTCACTATGAATGTCTAAGTGGAACACAATGTCACAATGATACGAATAAGATTCAGTTTGATTCAACTTTGTTATATTTTGAGTGCCTATTAGTAGCAAACTTCAAGTTTTTTCTCTAGTTTTGTGTTTCGTAAAATCTTGCCCTTGCTGATTGGTGGAATGAAAAGAGTTGACCTTATCCACCAAAAATTTAAATTTCGAATTTGTGGATGATATTATTTAAAATAGCATGATGTCTCTTACACATATTCACAATTTGATGTGACCTTATCAAAATATGATGATTTGATTGAGCCATGTGTGTGTATGTACACGATATCAACTGCCTACATATTCAAATTTTGAATTTTGGCGGAGGAGCTACTCTGATTTTTGGCGGAAGAACTGTAATTTTCACAATCCTTAGTTTTGAGTATCGTAAATACTTGCTTTAACCTCATCCATCAAAAATTTCAATTTAAAATATGTGGATGCTTCTAATCAAAATAGTCTGATTTCTTATACATAATTTCTACAATTTGATGGGTAGTAATCAACCTATGATTGACACAATTTGATAGAGCCATTGGTGTATGTAAAAGAAGATTTCGACTGTCTACAATTACAACTTGAATTTTTGGCGGAGGAGCTATTTTGACTTTTAGCGGAAGAACTGCAATTTTACAGGTCTATTTATTGAGCCCTAGGTATACATTGAACACTCACAAGAAACAGAAGCCATCATGTCAGACAAAATCTAACTATAATTAATCAGGCAACTCATATTTGATTTTTTGGTGAATGAACATGTTTTGATTTTTTCGGATTTTTTGGTGTAGTAAAGCGCATCCACTATGCAATTTTCTATGTTTATTTGAAACCATTGATTCAATATCAACTCTTATAGAAAGCGCAAGCGAATATACATTCTTGAATTTAATTTTCTGGCGAAGGAGCAACTTTCAAGTTTTGGTGGGCAGATAAACGATTTTCTTTAGACACCATTCCATCGTGAGAATCAGGCCACAATAAAGGTGAATCAAACTGAGCAATGTATCCTTTACAGTCCTTATTCAATTCCTGATTGAACACCAAACCACCTTTACACGTTAATCCAAGAGATGACACACATTTTCACTAGTTTTTCCACTTCACCACAACAAAAACACAGCCATGACGTTCACTTGTTCCACCCCTGCAGTAACTAAATTCAAACCACCACTTTGTCGTAGAACCTTGCTTTGCATCCTGGAACACCAGATCCCAACAACGTAAACTACCAATTTACCTGTAGGAAGTATATCCCAGCATTGGTGGGTAAACATAAAGGAAACTTGGGACGATATCAGCTTTTACAGTTCACTCGACATTTTGTATTCGTGGCTCCAAAGCCAAAGCACCCTCGATCCACACCGAAATCAAATACGACGCTGACGTTCCTCTCAGATACGTTACGCTCTGCGCGACAACAACGCTTCGCGACGTTCAACTGTCTACTTGTCTAGCTCGGTGGGAGAAACAGAAACACACACATCGTAGCCGGCTGTGGAGGGGCTGCCAAGGGGAAGTTTGACCCGAGAGCGAGCGAGTGCGGCCTTTTCTGTATCTTTCTCTCTCACTCCTCCGAGAGTCCTCGGCTCTCGCCGCGCGGCCACAATATCGGTTATGGCCCGGCGGTGTTGCCAGACGTTGGTCGATCGGTGCCGAGTGGGTGGGTTGATGTGACGCAGGACTGGAATAAGGAGATGAATAAAGTTTTGACTGTTGAAAAAACTAATATGTAAATCAGTGAACAACGAACAATAAATAGATTGTTTAATCCATGAAACTGACCTGCCTTGTCTTAGGGAACAAGTTCACTAACTGGACACGGCTTGATTGTGATTCATACGGACTTGGCAACAATTCTCGAATGGGGATCCAATTACTTGGTAGATTTCAATGCAAACAAAACACAAGCATGCCTTTTCTCTAGAAAAGCCGATCTCACTGTGCCCAACATAAGCTTGTCAGGAGAAACCATACCTTTGAAGACATCCATTTCGATGCTTGGTATTACTATCAGCAAAAACCTTTCTTGGGAAAATCACGTGAGATCAATTGCTGAAAGTGCATCCCAAAAACTTGGTTTTCTGTTTCGGGCTAGGAGCTATTTCACCTCCAGTCAGCTGCTTATGATCTATAAGGCCCAGATCCGACCGGTCCTGGAATACTGCTCCCATATTTGGAGTGCAGCACCCAAACACACCCTGAAACTGTTGGATTCTGTCCAAAAAATCTCGTAGGTGATGCCTCGCTCACAAACTCACTCACTTCTCTGGAACACCGTAGAAAAGTTGGCGATCTGGCTATTGATATCTTCATGAACGATGCTCTTCTGGAATATCAACAATTGTTCCTCCCTTGGTAGTCCCCGCGAGATTAACCCGTTGAGTTGAGGCTTCGCACTCCTTCGTGGTTACTTTGGAGACCTGCAGAACATCTCTTTCCAAAGACTCGTTCATCCAACGAACAGCGAGGCGCTGGAACACATTGCCAAGGGAGGTCTTCCCCGAGGCATATAACCTCCAAAAATTTAAGAAGAACACCAATTCCTACCTTATTTCAATTGGTTCTCACGATGTTCTCTGAACATTGCAGGATATCCCTTTTCGTGGTAACCAGAACATACCACATACGCTGTTATCACCTTTTTCATACAGGGCATTCTCGGAGCGCGCTAACATTGACTTATTTTAGCTTTGGTCTCAAAACGAATAACCATTATTCTCAAAATGTGTGCCTAGGAATTGACACCGATCAACTACAAGCTATTTACCATCTCGTATAAGTCGATTATATTTCCTTTTTGCTGGAAAGCAGCTAGAGTTGAACCAATCCCCAAAAAACGAAACAAAAACCTGCCTTATTATCAGTTATCTTCTAAGTGATGGAGAAAGTCATCAACATTGAGCTTATAAAATATATGGGAAGCTCAGGAATCATCAATGAAGATCGACTGGAGATTAACTTGCCTATACAGCACCCATATATGGCTAGCTTCATTAGATATTCATATATCAAAAGCATACGACCGTGTTCGGCACCAAGGACTCCTCCACAAATTACCATAGCATACGATATAGCTAACCCGAGAGCTAACCATCTCAGCTTTGCCATCTTTTATCGAGTTTTGTTTCAGGCAGATCGCTCCATGTTGTGGTGGAAAGAGTATGATCTGATACCATAGCCATCAATTCCGGCATACCACAAGCCAATATTTGCTCTATATCTGATGCTTTCTGAGATACAAGTGATTATTCTGAAATTCAATTGACGATTTCTGATATTCAATCGTCAATTCTGAAAAACAATTGATGCCTTGTGGAAACCAAGTGACTATTCTGAGACACAATTGGCGCTTTCTCGATATTGGATCTACCATCTTGAATTCCCTAATTTCCAAATCCCGCCCTTACCAAATTTTGACAAAAGAATCATATTCTCCGACCCCGAAAACACCCAGATAACAATTTTGAAGAGAGTCGGATCATAATTACAATACTCGTCCACCATATTGGATCCGCCATGTTGAATTTCCTGATTTTGACGAAAGAATCATAATCTCCGACCCCGAGAACCACCAGATACCAAATTTGAATAAAATCGGATCCTAATTACAGAATCCGCCATTTTGGATCCGTCATCTTAAATTTCTTTATTTTGACGAAGGAATCATAATCCCCTAGGTACCAATTTTGAAAATAATCGGATTTCAATTACAAAACTCGTCCGCCATATTGGTTCCGCCATCTTGAATTTCCGAATTCCTCCCGAATTTTCAAATTCTGACGAAAGAATCATAATCTCCGACCCTGAAAATCCCCAGATACCAATTTTGAATTGAATCGGACCATAATTACAGAACTCGTCCAATTTATTAGATCCGCCATCTTGATAACCTCCTGGTTCTAAGCTACCTCCCCAACAATTTCTAGGCAAATCGATCCAGTAGTTTTGGAGCCTATTCAATACATACAAACAAGCAAACAAACAATCAAATCTATTAGATTATGTATTTACCCCATATACGTATTAATAATCAATACGGATAATCTCTATCTGTTTCCATAGCGAAAAATGAAGCCGATTTTTGAAGACAAATGACTATCCATAAGGAGACGTTTTGAAACGATCAGACACATACTGCTTTGATTGAAAGGCTAGTAAACGTCATTGTCTACCAAAACGCATGTCTTTGATGACTACTATAATAGCGCATGGCGCATGCGTATCATGCCACCAAATCCTTATGGATATTCATTTGTTTCATATTTTTGGCTTCATCCTGGCACCCGTTATGATCCGTATTGTTAATTAATACGTATATGATTTACCCCCGAAAAGTGAATTGAAATATTATCTCTCCTACTCCTAGATCCTGTCCTGTTACTGTCGAGCCACATCGTCGCTTGTGACAGTGGCGGCTCAACACTAAATCATGATCGGGCTGATAATGAGCTGTTAGTCACGTCTGGACAAAATATTATGAGAAGATGGCTGTGTTTGTGGTGCGTTTGTAAACATAATCGTTTTAACGTTTTTGGGTGTTTCGTACCTACGACCTATTCGATCATGTCAATAATATTGATGTCACCATAATTTCGTCATTGGTTTTCGCTGAATCTGTGTTCAGTCAGTCCCAAAATATTATACAGGGCGTTTCATAATTGAATGTCAATATTCGAGGAGGCGATTATTGGGCCCTTCCTAAAAATAAAGTTTCATATATAACGATAAATATCACTGGCCACGTTTATACCGTATGGATAGTTTTTTTTTATGTTCTGGTTCCCACGAAAAGGGATATCCTGTAATGTACAGAGAACATCGTGAGAACCAAGGGAAATAAGGTAGGAATTGGTGTTCTTCTCAAATTTCTGGAGGTTATATGCCTCGGGGAACACCTCCCTTGGCAATGTGTTCCGGAGTCTCGCTGTTCGTTGGATGAACGAGTCTTTGGAAAGAGATGTTCTGCAGGTTTCCAAAGTGACCACGAAGGGGTGCGAAGCCTCAACTCGACGGGTTAATCTCGCGGGGACTGCCAAGGGAGGAACAATTGTTGATATTTCAGAAGAGCATCGTCCATGAAAATATCTATAAAATAGAGCAAAATCACCAACTTCTCTACGGTGTTTCAAAGAAGCATGAAGTGAGTGAGTTTGTGAGCGAGGCATCACCCACGAGACGAATTGCCCTTTTTTGGACAGAATCCAACAGTTTCAGGGTATGTTTGGGTGCTGCACTCCAAATATAGGAACATGGCAGGTCGGATCTGTGCCTTATAGATCATGAGCAGCTGACTGGAAGTGAACTATAGTTCCTGGCCCGAAACAGAAAACCAAGTTTTTTGGATGCACTTTCAGCAATTGATCTCACGACATTTTCCCAAGAAAGGTTATTGCTGATAGTAATACCAAGCATCGAAATGAATGTCTTCAAAGATATGGGTACTCCTGATAAGCTTATGTTGGGCACAGTGAGATCGGCTTTTCTAGAGAAAAGGCATGTTTGTGTTTTGTATGCATTGAAATCTACCAAGTTATTGGATCCCCATTCGAGAATTGTTGCCAAGTCCATATTTATGTTGTCAACATTTCTCCCTCGTTCGTTTCTGATTTGCCTGGCCCTGGAAGAGAAGGCGGTATGGAGGGTACTATCATCCGCGAAGCTGTGTACTGGACATGAAGTTGCTTCCAACAAATCGTTGATGTTGAGTAGAAATAGTGTTGATGCTAGAATTGATCCTTGTAGAACACCAGGACACTCCGTCGACCACTACATGGAGAGACCTGTTTGAGAGGAAACTAGCTAGCAGAGAACCTAGCTGAGCTGGGGAGGCAAGCCATAAGATGGAAGCTTCAGTTGACTAACGTAACCAACTTTGTTTTGATTCGATTATTTTGTTGAGGTTAGGTTGTGGAACTCTACTTGAATTTGTGAATTAAGAATAAAACCTTCTGTAGAACACGAAATTAGCTGAAATTGAAGAAAATATTATCATGAGAACTCATGAATTGACTGCCACTTCCACTTAAGTCAAGTCAAAGCTATACAAAAGTAGACCAAAATGTTTACACCATCTTGGTCATCATACTATTTCAGTCTGGTTCGCAACAAATTTCGGTATCAAACCAAGCTGGTAACTTTACCAAGAATACAGTTTATACCACTGACCAAGAGTATTTAGTCAAAATATAATCATTAGTGAGCTTTCCAAGACACGGTATAAACGTGGATACTATAGACTATTATATTTTCAACCAAATCGAGAACCTGGAAAATTGTGTGAAAAGTACTGTTTGGGGTTTATCGTAAGTCACGGGATGCTTATCTGTCAATCTGTACCAATCGAATAAGTTGTAGTATAATCAAGATTCGAAGAAAACATTGCTATCCTGTTCTATTTCTACTACGAGACCAAATGTTTGACATCTGTTTAATTTTACGTGCGTTTTTGAGCATCCTTCAATGCCCATTCTTTCGCCTTCCTAAGTTGAATGATAACCATAACAGTTCACCTCTGTGTTCGTCTCCCAAGTTCCAGGTATTTGGTATATTTCGTTATACCTGCTAAAATGGGATAATTTGGGATTTATTACCTGTTCACAGTC